GGTAGGGAGTCCTTCGGGATTAGCTTATTGACTCCCCATTTTGGTAAAATGACAAGATAGCCCTTGCGACGTTTTTGTGCCATTTTTTCCTTCTTTTTTTCTGTCATAATCCTCATAAATTTGATCAGTCTTCAATATGAATTATATTATCGGGGGATTGGCCATTCAATTTTTCTTCCCTTTGCATTATAAAATATTAAGTAAAAAACGCGAGAAGAAGGGTAGTATATGGAGGGTCTCACTTTGAGTCTCCTTAGCATTTCACTTTTATTATTTTATTTTTTTTAAGAGATGTTAAGGTTACTTTAAAAATGAGATTCTATATGAACCCTGCTGCCTTACAGTTTATGAGACTATCGCAATAAGGGCTGAAGCGATCAAAGTGATCTAACTTGGCTCTATCCAAAAAGGCCCTCGGTCGTCTATTTGTGAGAAACTTTTGCAAGAATCTCCTTTGCATTTCTCTTTGTTATAATCGATATTCGGAGAGGAAGGACTCAAACTCGGGATCACGAGGCAAGAATGAATGCTCTTAAACGACTTGTAATGTAAGACGGAAGTTTTATGGTGCCCAAATGAGTGGCAGGATCTATAACTCGACTAGAAGAAATACAAACTACTAAAACCCTGCAAATTATCGAAAATTTGGTGAATGCAACTATTCATTCAGACAACCAAAACATCGAATAATAAGAGGCAACAACCATACAAACAAGTTAGGCAAAACACACAAAATTTGGTCAAATAAACGAAGTGAACTTTCAATCCCAAGACCGCGAGATAAAACTTCTTGATATCAAAATGCTTCAATGAATTCATGAGACTAGCAAGAGAACCCATCATTCAGCACTAGCGGGATTCAAACGGAAACGTAGTTCAAATATATCCGAATGCATAGAACCAATGATGATCCAAAAGATAAATGAAAAAGAACTTGCATTGAAGAAAGATCCATGGCCACAAACCAAAGCCTACAAACCTTTATACCCGTTCTAACTCGGTGTCTATATGAAGAACTAAGCCACACGTATCCCACCCAATATCGCTATATTGACAACGATCAATACAATCAGTCAGTAATCAGTATGAGAACTTCACAATTTGAAACCAATACAGTGTACATTCAGTTCAGCGAACAAAAATCCCAAAACAAGTTCGCAGAAACTTAAATTCTCAATCACAATGCAACCAAAAAAATGGTCCGAATCAAATTAGTAGGGCCTATACCGGGATGCAGATTCAGCACTTTCATCTTCTCATATAACTCACTACAACAAGCAAACAATGACTCTGTTAAACCCATAAGTAATCCCCCAAATGATATACCAATATGAGAAGTTCAACTTGGTTCACAATTCAGAGTCCCGAGCCGAATATCCCAAGTCACAAACAAATGTTCCAAAACAAGTCCTTCGAATTAAAAATATCAACCAAAAAAGCCGAAGAAGGATTGGTCCGACAAATCTTACTCAAAGGCCATTAACAGGACCAATATTACTTGACCACTCATATAAATTACACCCGAAAGCAACCAGCAATCCATTGATTTCGACATAAACTTCATATCATACGGCAATAATAAACTCAAGCAACAAATTAAAATGCAATAAACAATCGATAAATAGCAAAACTGTTTTGCTTGGAACACCAAAATATAATATATCATGTCAAAAAAAGCACAAATCCATCCATGTCTCAAATCGAAGATCCGATTAAACACCAAATCCGTTAACGCATACTTCAAAAGTGCTTCCAACTAAAGTGCTTAACTTGACAGTTGCTACTTTCGTTTAACTAACAAAAACACAAACCGAAATGAAATCGATCCAAATCAATCGACGTTCTGCATGATATCCTCGGCAGTGAACTTGGTGCCCTTGTCCTTGTCAGCGGCGGCGCGGCCCTTGGCCTTGCGGTCGAGCAGAGACTTGCGGTCCTTGTCGAGGCGGAGCTTTGTGATGACGACCTTGGAGGGGTTGATGCCGACATTGACGGTGGAACCGTTCACCTTCTCCCGGGTGATCCGCTCGATGTGGATGACCCACTTGCGACGGTAAACCTGGACAACCTTGCCCTCACGTCCCTTGTAGGTCCCACGCACGACCTGGACCTCGTCGTCCTTGCGCACAGGCATCGATCGGACGTTGTACTTGGAGCGGAGGTCGGTGGAGAGGGGCGCGCTCATCAGCACCCGCCGCACGCTGGACGGCGCGGTGAAGTGAGCCTTGCGGTTCTTCCGCCGGGAGCTGGTGACGCGGGGATTGTACTTCATTTCTGCTTGCTCTGCTCTGCTAGGGTTTTCGGCTAGGGTTTGATTTTTCCGCAGGTCTTTGAAGGTTGGGTTTATAAACAGAAGCGTTTGAATGGAAGGCCCGCTTTCGGCTGCGGCTTGGGCTTAGAACTTGCCCTTCAACCTCAAAATGCATCTCCATCGGGCCAAATTCAAGAGGGCAACTGGTGGGCCATGCAAAGCCCGTCTAAATGTCCCAGCAATTTAAATCCAGTCTTGTGCCAGTGGGTAAGGTTGATGTCAGCATGAAGTTAGTTATGATAGATTTCTTTTGTGTCTGGCGCGTGTAATACACGCGCAAGGGGAGAGTGGGCAGCTCCAACATAAGAGCCCAACTGCTCTAGGACCTGGCGCGATGAAAGTCGTCGGATGTCCAAACTTGATGATCTGAACTATTGGATTTCCAATGGTAGAAAAATGAAAAAAAAATTCCATTGTGACACGTGACATGTTTTGGTGTGTCTAATTTTAAATGACTGGAGAAATCAACAATCGAGATTAATCCAACAGCAAAAAATAGAAAGAAAATTATTTATTTTCTTCTTATAATCTATAAATACCCAACCATCTTCTTCATTCCCCACACCACACCACAACTCATTATTTAGTTTTACTATAATCTCCTATATTCGTTTTCCACTTTTCAAATCATTTTTTATCGCATTAGGTGTCCGCTTTCATGTTGGGCAGTATGGGTCGGAGAAGGGCTATCACTCAAGTAAGTGAGAAGGCTAATTGGTCGATCGCGGAAGACGTTGCTTTCCTTGATCGTTAGGTGCGTGTTAGAAGACATAAAAAAATAAATATTTAGAAATAGTAATTGTCTTTACCCTTGCCTTTACCGAAGCCTTTGCCAAGCAAGGGGTGGAACTACACAAAGACAATCACTTTTCAGAGGACAATTTACATACCCTTGCGCTCCCAAAACAAGTGGACTTGCTCTTATGAACTTGCTTTGGGCCCAAAGACAGATGGATGTACGTTAATTATTATTATTTTAACGGGATGATATCAACATAGTCAATCATTTAATCTCATTGGCTAAATCTTAACTGCTCAACCGTAAAAAATAATGTGCGAGAGAGAATACCAACGGGTGGAAAATCCAAACACGAATACTATTGGCAAAATTAACGTGCATGTACAATGCAACTCGTTTCACTTGTTAAGACTTACAAGAGATTGCGAAATTTTATGGCGCTTAGATGATTAAAATAATTGGAAAAAAAAAAGGATTAATTTATGTTGGTTAGATTCCGAAATTGTATGGAGCTTGGATGAATAAACTGATTGGAAAAGAGAGAATATTTAATCAAATTAATGGAGATTACATAGTGATTTGGAAGTGATATGATGAAAGTAAGGGTCACTGCCTAGGATAAGACTCAACCTTTACAGATTGTTAATCACGGCTTATAGGTTTGTCTCAAAACATAAAATACACATACAGCATGCAGCATTTGTGGTTGGGTTTTACGCGAAAAACACAATGCTAAGTGAAAACTTTAAAATGACATGATCTGTTTAAAATGTAAAATTGGAGTGAAACGTGGACGAAAATATGTGGTTTTTCTATTTTCTTGATTAGTACGTACTTTTCTTTTAGTTATATTTTTATAGGATGTCTGATTCGTCCTTGCACTTGAGATCCTCGTTTCAACTTTCTTGTACACCAATATCATTTACATGGTGCTTAGTTTATTATTGGTCCCATAATATATGAATAGTGCTAGTCATCATATATGTATATATGTACAACACATGATCTACGATTTTAGTTTGATTCTAGAAAACAAAAGGGTTCAACAAGATTAACAAAAAGCCTCTTCATTTTGTCTCCTAAAATTGCCCATCAAATTGCACCTTCTTCTCTCTCTCGAGTCTGTCTGCACCATTCCCTCGATATTATCTTGCTTGTAAAACTTCCTCCTCCACAACCATCCCGGTCGGGCAGCTCCTGTCTTCCTCCGTCATGGCTTCGGTAAATCATTTTCTTCCATTAATTTCATCCTCTTTTTTCATTCTTTAATTTCCCTCTTTTTTCTTTATGCATATGCATATATATTTGGAAATTTAGGGTTACGGATTGGGATATAATTTGCATATTTTGACCGGATTCTGTTCTTTTCCATTTTCTTATGTGAGTTCTTGAAAATTTCGTAGGACAGAAAAGATCAAGGAGAATATTGGATATTTTTAGGTTGTACTTAGTTTTGTAGGAATTCAAGGTTTTCATTTGTAATGTACTAAGGGCCATGCATATTCTTCCTATAATTCCTAGCGTTGCAATGTATCATGTATGACTGGAAACGTATGCATGGAGAAACTTCCGTCGAGCCATTCTTTTCGTTTTTCCTTTTCAACGCAAAATCATTGCCCCAAATTGATTTAATGATACCGATCATAATGTGAAACTCCTTACATGTTTCGATTGCAATTGCAATATTACAGTCTAGTTTGTTCATGATTCTTTCCTTAAGTTTATTGATTAGCACATCAGCAAGATAAATAGTAAATTCTAAGTCCCGACACTGTTGTTTAATGGCGCGCATACATGCAATTATGCAAGAAACGCAAAGGATTGATGTGGAGGGAAGGTGAAGGTTAGAGAAAATAAGGAGGTGAAGAATGGACGGATATATGTGACGACATTTTGGTTTGGTTTCATCATCAAAACCATGTTTTCCGTCCTAATTTACAGACCGATAGGATGTATGTATGTGTATGTGTGCACGCGTGTGCATCTGTGTATATATAACCGACTAACAGGCAACAAAACATCAAGATTAGGCAAATCATCTAGCTAGTTTAGTGTAGCAGATACTAATGGGAGCTTGTTTTTTCAATATTTCAGCAGGATAAAGGTCGGCCGCTGCCGAAGTTCGGGGAATGGGACGTAAATAACCCAGCTTCAGCTGAAGGATTTACTGTTATTTTCAACAAGGCCAGAGATGAGAAGAAGACAAGTGCGGCTCAAGTGAAGATCGTCACCCCGCGAAAAAATGACGGCAGCCTAAGAAATGGTGCTGGATACAACACTGTCAATGAGCACTATCCCAAGTATCCTCCCCCAAAGGTAACAAACCATAGAGAAGCTGCTCATGAAATTTGAAATTTATATATGCTTCTGTTTGTATAGCCTGTTTGGAAGTGCTTCTTAGCTAAAAACGTTTTCAAATAACCAAACTTCTAATAACATTTGGCAGATGAAGTTAACAGTGCTTATGGGTTTTCAAGAGGCCATTTGGAAATGCTTATTTAAAAATGCATGTCTGCTCTTAAGCAATTCTTCTGTTAGGAGCACACTAAAATATTCAATAAAATTTTAAGCGTTTACAAAGTGCTTTATAATGAATACACATAACAAGTGTCGCCTCTAGAAAGCATTTGAAGTGTTTTTTCTGAATCCATAAGTACTATTAGCTTTTTTTGTCAAACATGATCGAAAGAACTTTTGGTGATCTAAAAGCGCTTTGAGTTATTTAAAAGCACTTTCATTTAGACCATAAAAGCACTTTTAAGTACTTTTTTTCAAAAGCGTAAGTGCTTTTTAAATGATCACTCAATGTCATTGATGACTCTATTTCGGATGGAATATTGCAGAAGAAATGGTTTTGCTGTGGCTGAACGAATCCACAACTGCTTATGGGGACGAGGTGATAATGCAAAAATAATAGAGTGGGACTGGGAGGAGCTACAAACAACTTAAAGACAATCTTGTGCCGGGGAAAGATGTGGAACACCAAATCTCTCATATATATATAAAGAAAAGTTTTTTTTTTTTTTTTTTCACTTCTGCATTAATTCTTTTGCCTTTCTATATCATAGGGATTTGACAAGAAAAATAGGGTGCCGATTATCGACTGTCTGACGCAACGACACTCTTCCTCCTTAATATATATATATATATATATATATGTTTTGTTGCATATACGTGTAATGTAGAATGAAAAAAAAAGATTGGTGAACATAAAAATTTGTAATATATGTAGAATTTTGTGGTTCTGTGTTTGATAATTGGGCACAAGAACATCACTTTATATATATACACACATGCGCGCGCGCGCACACACATATATATATATATATATATTATCATCTAAAAAGAGTAAAATATATTTAATATATTACCTGGAGTTTACTGCTCAGTTTTGTTGTTAGGTTTGCAGCAGTTGCTTCTTGCTTGTTGCAGGACCTTACCTTGTATCGTTCCCATCATCCCACTCCCCCAGTCAAAGGGCTCGTTTGGCACCAAAGATTGGATTTGATTTGATAACTTAGTAGACTCAAGGTGTGTTGAAAAACAGAAACAAATAGAGGAATTTTGTCCAAGTTAAAAGTAGAAGATGAAAAGCAGAATGAAAACCAAAATGGTAGGTATATCGACCAAAAAAATGGTAGGATATCAACATCTCTCGAGACTCATCCTTCTAATCAACAGTCCTTAGATGAAAAATCATTCACATCTACTTTCATTTCTTACTCCAACATACCTTGAAGATGACACAAGTTATCAAATCTAATTCTAGGTGCCAAACAAGAAGGTCTGACGAATTAACTTCTGGAGGAGGTACATACAGAAGTTTCAGTCAAACCTTGTTAATTCTTCGTGTGTTCTCTTTTGTTTAAAAAAATGTTATAAGTTCATCCAACAGCTTTCCCTTGAGAGAAAGTCAAGCATAATTGGGGGTTGTTTTTGAAAACATAATCACTTTTGTTAGGTAAGGATTATCCAACAAGCAAATCGAAGATAATTGGGAAGTGACCATAACCACAAAGCAAAGTTGAGAGGATACTCAATGAATTCAACTCATATTTTCCAGTAAAATTACATCAAACACGAAACATTTCCGGCTTCCAACAAACAAATCGAAGATAATTGGGAACTGACCATAACCACAAAGCAAAGCTGAGAGGATACTCCCCGAAATTATCTTGTATTTTCTAGGTAAGATTACATCAAACACGAAATATTTATATTTCCGGCTTCCACTAAGTTCTCACATCTGAAAAGCCGGTGGCAGCTAGGGGAGAAGGTTTGATACATTTCCAAGACTCAATAACAAAGCGATTTCACGTCCTTGGCGACAAGAATCCACTGCTCTAGTTGGCATTTCGTGCAAAACGCATTACTCAGGCTGTTGCCATCAGTTCCACTTCTACTTCCAGATGACCGTACCCCATTTGCAGTTTCCGAGTCACAGAAAGGAATCCGATAATGACGGATGGTCAAATATACAGGTTGGCCCAGAACTGCAAACGCCAAAGCGGCTGTACTCTGTGCAAATGTTCTGACCCTGGATTGGAAACAAATTTAGGATGAAGGTCTATGCAATTGATGACATGCAATAACGAAGCACAATAACTGACCAAACCGAGTATTTCATATAGGAGAGGCAAGAGAGGAACTGTCAGTTAAGAATCCTTCTATGTTGAAAGAGATGTATCCATAACTTTCACCATAAATTATCTTTCGCAAGGTCAAATTATCTATTATAAAGTTGACGAGGGATTTGACTGTAGCTTAGCTATAGCCAAATCTTTGCCCCTCAATTTCACGCTATTTACAACAAAGCCATCAGATTCGGGCAGATATTGGGGCTGGGTGCGTTTGAGACGGATTGTGATGGGTTTAGGTTTGTTGTCATTCAGTGAGGGTTTCGGGGATAGGAGGCCATGCCTCCTCTAACACGCCGGATGCGTATTGGAGGTACAGCGACGACTGGCAACTGCGCCATCGGCGATGAATATAGCCGTCGGAAAGCGTCCTCGCTCCGATTGCGGTATGTTGGATTCCTTGAATTCCTTTTCTTTGGGTTTCCTCTCTCATTTTTGCGTTTGTTTGGGGTGGGATCTAGGTTTTCTCTGCATTGCTTAAATTTTGCATTTTTTTTTTCTGGATTTCAATTAAGAAATGAATAAATTCGGGGGTTTCTGATTTCATATTTCGTTGTTTATATGCTGGAATTACAGGACAAGGAGTTGGACCCTGGATCGAACGACTTTCCGGGTTAGTAACTTTTATAATATGCTGAGTTTTTATTCAATGATTGTTTTTTTTTTTTTTTATCGTACTCTCCCTCGGTCTAATTTCGCCCATATGCGCACACACAATCACAATAAGATTGGGTTCGGGTTTAGATATTTATATTTTTTTGATATTGAAAATTGCATTTTCTTCAGATTAATCCCAGAGCAGGTACCATGTGGATTTTTTTTTTAAATTTATTTACTAATTTTAACTTTGGCTTTTAAGTTTGAGTTCTGGTTTTTAATATTTATATTTCTGTACAAATTTGATGCTATGAAAGGGTTTGATGATTTATGATGATTTCAATGACAACTGTTTCTTTTCCAGAAGATGATTGCTTTTTGTACTAAGAATTGGGAAGCCTTCTTCACCTGCTATAACTTCTATGTTTTGGTTTGTTATGAAATGAATTCCCTTCTACCGTAAAAAAAAAATGGTACAATGTTATCAAATTCGATTTTTCTAATCATTCGAATGCTGGGAATGGTGGGGTTTCTTACGGTTAAATCTTCGCATGTATTTTTTTTTTTTTTTTTGTCTTTCTAATTTTCTGATTTTCAGTTTTATCTTTTTTTCTTTCTCAATTATACCACGATATTGTTTAATGCATAGACAAATAAATGATTCAAAAAATGGGTGTACCAAGAGAAACAAAAAAATGTTGGATTGTCTGCAAAGCGCTGAACCAAAGAGAGGACTATAATGTGTAAATATAATTGGTTATTCAAATACGAACTTCTTTGCTTGATTGCTAGAATTTCAGTATAAATCAGATATGGTTAGATGTTATAGATGTTCAAACTCAAACAAGTTATTGTATTGGCATGTTGTAAATTTTTTAATTCGAATGTCTAATATTTAAATGTTTTTATTTTTTTTATTTTTTAACCAATTAAAACAAGTCAATTTGCTACTTTTTCACTGCAAGTTTGTAAACATTTACATACTGCAAAACTTACATTTTGATATATAGACACACTTTCTTTCTAACAATATGTATGCTTTTGCTCCAGGTTTACAAGAATGAGCATTGTCCTGATACGTGACTTGAAGCCTCTTAGAAACGATATGAAGATCATAGTTGGAATATGCCGAATTTGGAGAACAAAAATGTTTTGACGTCAGAATCAGTTCAATACTTACAAGCGTAATAATGTATGTTTGATACAAGCGTTTTCGCTATGGGTTTTTAGGTGTACTATTTGTTTCATTGAATTCCTGTATGTCCTGTATGTTTGGGAAAATTGGAAATGAATGTCGGGAACGGTTCAATCTCCACATCAACTAATTCAGCTCAATCTCTTTCAAACATTGTTTGGAGTCGTTCAATTGCATGTCGTAGTTATTTCTGAGGGTGGAGAAATTTTTGAATTAATCTGTGAATTTGTGGAGTGGAATGAAACCATAGGCTTTTGTAATACAATTGGAAATGAAAATTATTTTAATTATGTAATATGATGATCTCTTAATTTGCTTTTGCAGATCTTCTTTGGTTCCTGTGCTAGCTCTCTTGTGTCTCCATCTCCAAATAATGATATCCAATGTGTCAATCTAATCTTTTTTGTGTATGGATAGGCAAAAGTTTTACATTTTTTGAATTTCAATTTGAAGTTAGCTTTTTTTTTTCTTTTTTTCTTTTGTTTTTTTTTTTTTTGGGTTAACGTTAGTTGGGACGATGAGCCTAGAACTGCATTAGTTCCTTTACTGAATGGAACAATACAATTAGTAGATAGTAATTCATATAATAATTTTAAATATCTAGATAATTGATGTTTCGTTTTTTAATTGTAATTTTGGTTTAATTTGCCATTTTATGGTGTTTTGTTTAAATGCATATTACAATCAATGATATTGATATTGGTTTATTCTCTATAATCACTTTCTTGGTTGTCTATAAGCTTTGGATAGAAAAGAATTAAGTGAAAATGCATTGATTTTGGTTTTATTTTTCCTGATTTCTTTAACATGTGTATGGAAACATAGTTTTATGTCTCATATCCATTTTCGCACTGGTTTACGGGTGCAGGTTGAAACTGTGGCTCAGTTTGGGGTAATCTTTCCTCCCTCCCTCCCTCCCTCCCTCCCTCCCTGTGCAGTTTTGATATGCTTATAACTAAGTAAAAATAGTCAAATTCACCCCTTCATTATTGTAGCTTCGAGTTGTTCAAGCGGTTGCTGTTCCTGGAGGGCTACCACAAATCTTCCTATTTATGTGCCTGTGTAGCATTACCACATCAGTATGTCTACTAATGTTCTTTAGAATTTCTGGCTATTGAAGAATCCATTTAGAACTAGAACATAGAGCTGTGATAAGTTTATGTATACCACATGAAGATGGAGTAGAATACATTTCTTTTATCCTCCTGCATCTTGACACTCTTATTCTTTCTATGTTCAATCATACAAGTAATTTGTAATTAGTTTAGTATATCTGGTACATGTAAGTTTGCACTTCCGATAATTTTTCTCGACATCAGTGTTTTACGCTAAATGTTCTGTTAATGTAGACTGTGTTATAGATGTTTCTCATTCTCAATGCCGTAGTTGTGATTGGAAGCCCATAAACCTACCTCATGCATGCCCACATTCGCACAGCTTTGCACCCACATTCACTCCTATTATCCTTTTTCTTGGATGCATAGTATTCACAGGTCACATAGTTTTTTCTTTTGGCACTAGGTGTTGAAATTTTTTATGGAATTTCATTGATGCAAATATTGTGTCTTATTTTGGGCATTACCGTATTACGGGAAGATGAAGTCTATTTGGATAAGAGTAAATTGATTGTGTTTTAATTTTTCTTTAATTCAGATAAACATGTTCAATTTTTTCGGTTTGATTTAAAGGAATTTCTTACACAAAAAAGTTATGGTTTTCTGATTCGTTTTTTGGGTTGTTTATGTGGACGGTTTTGTTTTCGTCAAATTTGTGGCTTTTGTGATTGGAGATTTGTACATACATTGAAATTTAGTTTTTCTGATTTCAGCTCTCATTCGGATCCTGACACTTGCTCATCATTAAAATCATTTTTTTATGCTGTTCTTTTCCAAGCACAGTTGCAGATCCACAAGGCATCAAGGTATGTCATTTAAGCATATATTGTACATGCGTGTATTGCGTTAACATGTGTGAGTGTGAATATGTTTTATTCTGGGTTGATTTAGTTAATGAGGTTTTTTTTAATTTCAGATTAATTTGGCTCCTGTTAAACAGATCGGACGTCAGAAGAGTGGAACCAGTGGTGTTTGAAAAAGGTTGGTTTTTCAATTTTTTTAATTTGTGCCCTTTTAGTTGTTTGAATGAACTTTTTATGATGTAAATCAAGCTAAATTGAATAGCTGTGTTTGTATATTGTATTTGGTTGCAAAAAGATTTCAGTTCCAATATTATTCCATCAGTTCATCAAAAAATGTTTGAATATGCACATTGGCCCAAAAGAAAATAACTTAGAACTTAAAAACCAACCCACTTTCTGTGCTACTTGTATCACAAAGTGAAAAACCTTTTTGAGATCATAATCCATAGTTACAAATTCTGTATAAAAAGAACAGTTCGAAGAAGAGTGAACTTACTGGTCTTAAGGGGAGGCCCCTGTCACTGGGTGCACATGAGGGGGTCGCTGCAGTCTGATTTTTTGGATGGTGATATTGGCAATTAGATTTATTAACACAATCCCCTGTTTGAGTGAAATAGAAGCAAACAGGTTGACCAGGTCGTTCTGGAAATTCTTCAGCTTGCGTCTGCTGTGCATATTGTCCGCAGTAGTTGGTTTCGGTCACCGAGTTGTTCATAACATATGGTGGAGGTGCAGGTGCCGGCATGCTTCTATGAACAGATGGTGGAGGTGCTGGCATGCTTCTATGTGGTAGATGTGCTGGAGCCTAAACATGTTTTGGCCAATACAAAATTAAAGAGAAAAGCATATTTTTGAAAATGCAAACGAGATCAGCAGTAATTCTATAAATTCCACACAAAAAAAAAAAAAAAAAAAAAAGAGGGGCTACTCTTACTTATATCCACAAACTAATACCGAACCCAAATAAGAAGTCTAGAGGTACCGATGTGAAAACGTAAGCATATTACCACAACTGATGCAGACAACAATTTGTTATCAATATTCCAAACTTCAAGATTTTAACTTCTTTACAAATAATATTAGAATATCACATTAAGTCCTTAATGTAGGACCATATTATTAGTTTTATGAGCCGAACACGAATAAAAAGGGCATGAGAAAGAAAAGAAAAAGAGGTCAAAACACAAAAAGATCCGACTATTATCCCAAAAGAGACGGTAATTCGCATATCAAAAAGTGATGAGAATTAATTAAATTTTAAACCCAAGACTATAACAAGGGAGCGATGGCTAAAGTACCTGATAACCATTCCATTCCGTAGCTTCAGAATTAATCCCTTGAGAATTTGGAAGACCTTGTAATGATGCAGCCCTACCATTACCATACGCAGATTGCGGACGAGATTCTCCGGCAGCTGTAGGATCAGGGTGGTTAAACTTGCAGTTTGTTTCGTACTTGCAGGACGCAGTTTGCATATAGTAGGAACAATCTTTCTCCCCCTGTAATACGTTAAAACAATTATTCAGCGACCATATGGACACATTAAATTGGTCCAACAGAACAAGAAAATAAGCAAAGATGATCCTTAACATCAAGAATAGACAGATAATAATTCCTCAAATTTTTGCAGATCAAATCTAGAGCTTATACCGGACGAATTGGCAGGCCCAAAAAGTTAAATTCCAGAGCTGCAGCTACAGAAGGTACCCCTATACGTCGTCCTGGGCTGATGTAATACTGCAACAAGCTTAAGTGTCATATTAAGATTGTGAAACTGTTACTAGGCCACCAAGTACGTTGCACAGAATTGAATACAAGGGCACAAAGGGAAAGAAATGTCAATGATATTTAAAAACAAAATTGTAACAACATACAATTGTCAAAACACATCGACTATAAGTTGATCAAGTTCAAGACCCTCATCATTCTTTAGTTAGCTACAAGATGAAAAAGGTTTAAGCTTGTATATTCACTAGTGCATTCTAACCTACTAGCTTTCATATAACCATATCAAGAAACCCCATCGTCAAAACACAAGATAGTACTTCAAATCAAATATGTGAAGTAAAAAACTTAATGATGTAAAACATGAAAACCAAGCAATTGCAGTAAAAAACAGAACTTCGGATAGATAATAACCTTGCTTTCAGTCTGGTCTTGCTTCTCTTTCAACTCTTCCAACTCTTCCCTCTGCTTTGCCTTGTCCTTAGACACCTTCAAATCAATATGATAAAGTTCAAAACACCAAGAAACACAAAGTGAGCACCAACAACACAAATATTTCCTGCAATCATACAAGGCTAGACGCATTTATGTCTCACAGAAAATTGGCACAAAAGAATGAGAAAATAAGCAAAGATAAAATCTTAAATCTTCAAAATCATGAATAGATAGATATTCATTCCTCAAATTTTTGCAGATCAAATCTAGAGCTTATACTGGACGAATTGGCAAGCCCGAAAAGTTAAGTTCCAGAGCTGGAGCTACAGAAGGTACCCCTATACGTCGTCCTGGGATGATGTAATACTACAACACGCTTAAGTGCTATATTAAGATCGTGAAAACTGTTACTAGGCCACCAAGTACGTTGCACAGAATTGAATACGAGGGTACAAAGGGAAAGAAATGTCAATGATATTTAAAAACATAATTGTAATCCTATATAAAAAGGGAAAATGTAATGTAACAGCATACAATTGTCAAAACACATCGACTATAAGTTGATCACGTACAAGACCCTCATCATTCCATAGTTAGCTACAAGATGAAAAAGGTTTAAGCTTGTATATTCACTAGTGCATTCTAACCTACAAGCTTTCTGATAACCATATTGAGAAACCCCATCGTCAAAACACAAGATAGTACTTGAAATCAAATATGTGAAGTAAAACAAAACTTAATGATGTAAAACATGAAAACCAAGCAATTGCAGTTAAAAACAGAACTTTGGATAGATAATAACCTTGCTTTCGGTCTGCTCTTGCTTCTCTTCCAACTCTTCCAACTCTTCCCTCTGCTTTGCCTTGTCCTTTGACACCTTCAAATCAATATGATAAAGTTCAATACACCAAGAAACACAAAGTGAGCACCAACAACACAAATATTTCCTGCAATCATACAAGGACAGATGCATTTATGTCTCACAGAAAATTGGTCCAACAGAATACGAAAATAAGCCAAGACAAAATCTTAAATCTTAAACATCATGAATAGATAGATATTCATTCCTCAAATTTTTGCAGATCAAATCTAGAGCTTATACTGGCCGAAATGGCAAGCTCGAAAAGTTAAGTTCCAGAGCTGGAGCTACAGAAGGTACCCCTATACGTCGTCCTGGTCTGATGTAATACTGCAACAAGCTTAAGTGTTATACTAAGATCGTGAAAACTGTTGCTAGGCCACCACGTACGTTGCACAGAATTCAATACGAGGGTACAAAGGGAAAGAAATGTCATTGACATTTAAAAACATAATCGTAATCCTGTATAAAAAGGAAAACGTAATTGTAATGTAAAAGCATACAATTGTCAAAACACATCGACTATAAATTGATCACGTTCAAGACCGTCATCATTCCATAGTTAGCTACAAGATCAAAAAGGTTTAAGCTTGTATATTCACTAGTGCATTCTAACCTACTAGCTTTTAGATAACCATATTGAGAAACCCCATCATCAAAATACAAGATAGTAATTGTAATCAAATATGTGAAGTAAAACAAAACTTAATGATGTAAAACATGAAAACCAAGCAATTCCAGTAAAAACCAGAACTTCGGATAGATAATAACCTTTCTTTCGGTCTGGTCTTGCTTCTCTTCCAACTCTTCCCTTTGCTTTGCCTTGACCTTAGACACCTTCAAATCAATATGATAAAGTTCAAAACACCAAGAAACACAAAGTGAGCACCAACAACACAAATATTTCCTGCAATCATACAAGGCCAGATGCATTTATGTCTCATAGAAAATTGGTCCAACAGAATAAGAAAATAAGCCAAGATAAAATCTTAAATCTTAAACATCATGAATAGATAGATATTCATTCCTCAAATTTTTGCACATCAAATCTAGAGCTTATACTGGACGAATTGCCAAGTCCGAAAAGTTAAGTTCCAGAGCTCGAACTACAGATGGTACCCTTATACGTCATCCTGGGCTGATGTAATACTGCAACAAGCTTAATTGTTATATTAAGATCGTGAAAACTGTTACTAGGCCACCAAGTACGTTGCACAGAATTGAATACAAGGGTACAAAGGGAAAGAAATGTCAATCATATTTAAAAACATAATTGTAATCCTGTATAAAAAAGGAAAATGTAATGTAACAGCATACAATTGTCAAAACACATAGACTATAAGTCGATCACGTTCAAGACCCTCATCATTCTATAGTTAGCTACAAGATGAAAAAGGTTTAAGCTTGTATATTCACTAGTGCATTCTAACCTACCAGCTTTCAAATAACCATATCGATAAACCCCATCATCAAAACACAAGATAGTACTTCAAAACAAATATGTGAAGTAAAACAAAACTTAATGATGTAAAACAGGAAAACCAAGAATTTGCAGTAAAAAACAGAACTTTGGATAGATAATAACCTTGCTTTCGGTCTGTTCTTGCTTCTCTTCCAACTCTTCCCTCTGCTTTGCCTTGTCCTTAGACACCTTCAAATCAATATGATAAAGTTCAAAACACCAAGAAACACAAAGTGAGCACCAACAACACAAATATTTCCTGCAATCATACAACGCCAGATGCATTTATGTCTCACAGAAAATTGGTCCAACAGAATAAGAAAATAAGCCAAGATAAAATCTTAAATCTTAAACATCATGAATATATAGATATTCATTCCTCAAATTTTTGCAGATCAAATCTAGAGCTTCTACCGGACGAATTGGGGAGTCCGAAAAGTTAAGTTTGAGAGCTGGAGCTACAGATGGTACCCCTATACGTCGTCCTGGGCTAATGTAATACTGCAACAAGATTAAGTGTTATATTACGATCGTGAAAAATGTTACTAGGCCACCAAGTACGTTGCACAGAATTGAATACAAGGGTACAAAAGGAAAGAAATGTCAATGATACTTAAAAACATAATTGTAATCCTGTATGTAAAAGGAAAATGTAATGTAACAGCATACAATTGTCAAAACACATCGACTATAAGTTTATCACGTTCAAGACCCTCATCATTCTATAGTTAGCTACAAGATGAGAAAGGTTTAAGCTTGTATATTCACTAGTGCATTCTAACGTACTAGCTTTCAGATAACCATATTGAGAAACCCCATCATCAAAATACAAGATAGTACTTGAAATCAAATATGTGAAGAAAAACAAAACTTAATGATGTAAAACATGAAAACCAAGCAATTGCAGTGAAAAACAGAACTTTGGATAGATAATAACCTTGCTTTCGGTCTGATCTTGCTTCTCTTCCAAATCTTCCAACCCTTCCCTCTGCTTTGCCTCGTCCTTAGACACCTTCAAATCAATATGATAAAGTTCAACACACCAAGAAACACAAAGTGAGCACCAACAACACAAATATTTCTTGCAATCATACAAGGCCAGATGCATTTATGTGTCACAGAAAATTGGTCCAACAGAATAAGAAAATAAGCCAAGACAAAATCTTAAATCTTAAACATCATGAATAGATAGATATTCATTCCTCAATTTTTTGCACATGAAATCTAGAGCTTATACTGGCTGAAATGGCAGGCCCGAAAAGTTAAGTTCCAGAGCTGGAGCTGCAGAAGGTACCCCTATACGTCGTCCTGGTCTGATGTAATACTGCAACAAGCTTAAGTGTTATACTAAGATCGTGAAAACTGTTGCTAGGCCACCACGGTCGTTGCACAGAATTCAATACGAGGGTACAAAGGGAAAGAAATGTCATTGACATTTAAAAACATAATTGTAATCCTGTATAAAAAGGATAACGTAATTGTAATGTAACAGCATACAATTGCCAAACACATCGACTATAAATTGATCACGTTCAAGACCGTCATCATTCCATAGTTAGCTACAAGATCAAAAAGGTTTAAGCTTGTATATTCACTAGTGCATTCTAACCAACTAGCTTTTAGATAACCATATTGAGAAACCCCATCATCAAAATACAAGATAGTACTTGAAATCAAATATGTGAAGTAAAACAAAACTTAATGATGTAAAACATCAAAACCAAGCAATTCCAGTAAAAACCAGAACTTCGGATAGATAATAACCTTGCTTTCGGTCTGGAATTGCTTCTCTTCCAACTTTTCCCTCTGCTTTGCCTTGGCCTTAGACACCTTCAAATCAATATGATGAAGTTCAAAACACCAAGAAGCACAAAGTGAGCACAAACAACACAAATATTTCCTGCAATCATACAAGGCCAGATGCATTTATGTCTTACAGAATATTGGTCCAACAGAATAAGAAAATAAGCAAAGATAAAATCTTAAATCTTAAGCATCATGAATAGATGGATATTCATTCCTCAAATTTTTGCAGATCAAATCTAGAGCTTATACCAGACGAATTGGCAAGTCCGGAAAGTTAAGTTCCAGAGCTGGAGCTACAGAAGGTACCCCTATACGTCGTCCTGGGCTAATGTAATACTGCAACAAGCTTAAGTGTTATATTAAGATCATGAAACTGTTACTGGGCCACCATGTACGTTGCACAGATTTGAATATGAGAGTACAAAGGGAAAGAAACGTCATTGACATTTAAAAACATAATTGTAATCCTGTGTAAAAAAGGAAAATCTGATTGTAACGTAACAGCATACAATTGCCAAAACACATCGACTACAAGTTGATCATGTTCAAGACCCTCGTAAATCTATTGTTAGCTACAAGATAAAAAAGGTTTAAGCTTGTATATTCACTTGTGCATTCTAACCTACTAGCTTTCAGATAACCATATCAAAAAACCCCATCGTCAAAACACATCATACTACTTGAAACCAAATATGCGAAGTAAAACAAAACTTATGGTGCAAAACATGAAAACCAAGCAATTGCAGTAAAAACCAGAACTTTGGATAGATAATAACCTTGCTTTCGGTCTGCTCTTGCTTCTTTTCCAATTCTTCTCTCTGCTTTGCCTTGTCCTTAGACACCTTCAAATCAATTTGATAAAGTTCAAAACTCCAAGAAACACAAAGTGAGCACCAACAACACTAATATTTCTTGCAATCATACAAGGCCAGATGCATTGATGTCTCACAGAAAATTGGTCCAACAGAATAAGAAAATAAGCCAAGACAAAAACTTAAATCTTAAACATCATGAATAGATAGATATTCATTCCTCAAATTTTTGCAGATCAAATCTAGAGCTTATACTGGCCGGAATGGCAGGCCCGAAAAGTTAAGTTCCAGAGCTGGAGCTACAGAAGGTACCCCTTTACGTCGTCCTGGTATGATGTAATACTGCAACAAGCTTAAGTGTTATACTAAGATCGTGAAAACTGTTGCTAGGCCACCATGTACGTTGCACAGAATTCAATACGAGGGTACAAAGGGAAAGAAAAGTCATTGACATTTAAAAACATAATTGTAATCCTGTATAAAAAGGAAAACGTAATTGTAATGTAACAGTATACAATTGTCAAAACACATCGACTATAAATTGATCACGTTCAAGACCCTCATCATTCCATAGTTAGCTACAAGATGAAAAAGGTTTAAGCGTGTATATTCACTAGTGCATTCTAACCTACTAGCTTTTAGATAACCATATTGAGAAACCCCATCATCGAAATACAAGATAGTACTTGAAATCAAATATGTGAAGTAAAACAAAACTTAATGATGTAAAACATCAAAACCAAGCAATTCCAGTAAAAACCAGAACTTTGGATAGATAATAACCTTGCTTTCGCTCTGGTCTTGCTTCTCTTCCAACTCTTCCCTCTGCTTTGCCTTGTCCTTAGACACCTTCAAATCAATATGATAAAAGTTCAAAACACCAAGAAACACAAAGTGAGCACCAACAACACAAATATTTCTTGCAATCATACAAGGCCAGATGCATTTATGTCTCACAGAAAATTGGTCCAACAGAATAAGAAAATAAGCCAAGATAAAATCTTAAATCTTAAACATCATGAATAGATAGATATTCATTCCTCAAATTTTTGCACGTGAAATTTAGAGCTTATACCGGACGAATTGGCAAGTCCGGAAAGTCAAGTTCGAGAGCTGGAGCTACAGATGGTACCCCTATCCGTCGTCCTGGGCTAATGTAATACTGCAACAAGATTAAGTGTTATATTACGATCGTGAAAACTGTTACTAGGCCACCAAGTACATTGCACAGAATTGAATACGAGGGTACAAAAGGAAAGAAATGTCAATGATACTTAAAAACATAATTGTCAAAACACATCGACTATAAGTTCATCACGTTCAAGACCCTCATCATTCTAAAGTTAGCTAGAAGATGAAAAAGGTTTAAGCTTGTATATTCACTAATGCATTCTAACCTACTAGTTTTCAGATAACCATATCGAGAAACCCCATCGTCAAAACACAAGATAGTACTTGAAATCAAATATGTGAAGTAAAACAAAACTTAATGATGTAAAACATGAAAACCAAGCAATTGCAGTGAAAAACAGAACTTTGGATAGATAATAACCTTGCTTTCGGTCTGCTCTTGCTTCTCTTCCAACTCTTCCAACTCTTCCCTTTGCTTTGCCTTGTCCTTAGACACCTTCAAATCAATATGATAAAGTTCAAAACACCAAGAAACACAAAGTGAGCACCAACAACACAAATATTTCCTGCAATCATACAAGGCCAGATTCATTTATGTCTCACAGAAAATTGGTACAACAGAATAAGAAAATAAGCAAAGATCAAATCTGAAATCTTAAACATCATGAATAGATAGATATTCATTCCTCAAATTTTTGCAGATCAAATCTAGAGCTTATACTGGATGTATTGGCAGGCCCGAAAAGTTAAGTTCGAGAGCTGGAGCTACAGAAGGTACCCCTATACGTCGTCCTGGTCTGATGTAATACTGCAACAGGCTTAAGTGTTATATTAAGATCGTGAAAACTATTGCTAGGCCACCACGTACGTTGCACAGAATTGAATACAAGGGTACAAAGGGAAAGAAATGTCATTGACATTTAAAAACATAATTGTAATCCTATATAAAAAGGAAAATGTAATTGTAATGTAGCAGCATACAATTGTCAAAACACATCGACTATAAGTTCATCACGTTCAAGACCGTCATCATTCTATAGTTAGCTACAAGATGAAAAAGGTTTAAGCTTGTATATTCACTAGTGCATTCTAACCTACTAGCTTTCATATAACCATATTGAGAAACCCCATCGTCAAAATACAAGATAGTACTTGAAATCAAATATGTGATGTAAAACAAAACTTAATGATGTAAAATATGAAAACCAAGCAATTCCAGTAGAAACCAAAACTTCGGATAGATAATAACCTTGCTTTCGGTTAGGTCTTGCCTCTTTTCCAACTCTTCCCTTTGCTTTGCCTTGTCCTTAGACACCTTCAAATCAATATGATAAAGTTCAAAACACCAAGAAACACAAAGTGAGCACCAACATCACAAATATTTCCTGCAATCATACAAGGCCAGATGCATTTATGTCTCACAGAAAATTGGACTAACAGAATAAGAAAATAAGCCAAATTAAATCTTAAACATCATGAATAGATAGATATTCATTCCTCAAATTTTTGCAGATCAAATCTAGAGCTTATACCGGACGAATTGGCAAGTCTGAAAAGTTAAGTTCGAGAGCTGGAGCTACAGAAGGTACCCCTATACGTCGTCCTGGGCTTATATAATACTGCAACAAGCTTAAGTGTTATATTAAGATCGTGAAAACTGTTACTAGGCCACCACGTACGTTGCACAGATTTGAATATGAGGGTACAAAGGGAAATGTCGTTGACATTTAAAAAAATAATTGTAATCCTGTATAAAAGGCAAAATGTAGTTGTAATGTAACAGCATACAATTGTCAAAACACATCGACTATAAGTTGATCGTTCAAGACCCTCATCATTCTATAGTTAGCTACAAGATGAAAAAGATTCAAGCTTGTATATTCACTAGTGCATTCTAACCTACTAGCTTTCAAACAACCATATCGAGAAACCCACAAGTTAGTACTTGAAATCAAATATGTGAAGTAAAACAAAACTTAATGATGTAAAACATGAAAACCAAGCCATTCCAGTAAAAACCAGAACTTCGGATAGATAATAACCTTGCTTTCAGTCTGGTCTTGCTTCTCTTCCAACTCTTCCCTCTGCTTTGCCTTGTCCTTAGACACCTTCAAATCAATATGATAAAGTTCAAAACACCAAGAAGCACAAAGTGAGCACAAACAACACAAATATTTCCTGCAATCAAACAAGGCCAGATGCATTTATGTCTCACAGAATATTGGTCCAACAGAATAAGAAAATAAGCCAAGATAAAATCTTAAATCTTAAGCATCATGAATAGATAGATATTCATTCCTCAAATTTTTGCAGATCAAATCTAGAGCTTATACCAGACGAATTGGCAAGTCCGAAAAGTTAAGTTCCAGAGCTGGAGCTACAGAAGGTGCCGCTATACGTCGTCCTGGGCTGATGTAATACTGCAACAAGCTTAAGTGTTGTATTAAGATCATGAAACTGTTACTAGGCCACCATGTACGTTGCACAGATTTGAATACGAGAGTACAAAGGGAAAGAAACGTCATTGACACTTAAAAACATAATTGTAATCTTGTGTAAAAAAGGAAAATCTGATTGTAACGTAACAGCATACAATTGCCAAAACACATCGACTACAAGTTGATCATGTTCAAGACCCTCGTAAATCTATTGTTAGCTACAAGATAAAAAAGGTTTAAGCTTGCATATTCACTTGCGCATTCTAACCTACTAGCTTTCAGATAACCATATCAAAAAACCCCATCGTCAAAACACATCATAGTACTTGAAACCAAATATGCGAAGTAAAACAAAACTTAATGGTGCAAAACATGAAAACCAAGCAATTGCAGTAAAAACCAGAACTTTGGATAGGTAATAACCTTGCTTTCGGTCTGGTCTTGCTTCTTTTCCAATTCTTCTCTCTGCTTTGCCTTGTCCTTAGACACCTTCAAATCAATATGATAAAGTTGAAAACACCAAGAAACACAAAGTGAGCACCAACAACACAAATACTTCCTGCACTCATACAAGGCCAAATGTACTAATGTCTCAGATACTAAATGCAGGCCCAAAGTCCCGATTTGTTTCGGACAAATTTCACCACAAAGATGCACGTGAAAGAAAAACATGATCTTTAACAAATATGAAATGTGCCTCCATTTCGAGTCAATTCCGCATACAGAGATCATCATCTTTAACTAACCGATTAACACATTCTTTACTCTATTACACATGCATACATGAATTTCTCAGCTAAACCGAAGAAAGCTGAGGCCACGAAAACACGAAAAGTCTCAATCTTTCAACCATAAACATACATAAGCAAATGCTTAATGCAAAACAAGAGAGATATACCTGCTTGTTTTTCCTTCTCCGAGGGTGATTCAACGTGCAATTCCATCCGAACTTACAATTGCCAGTCTTCGGATAGTACGAACAGTCTCCAGCTTCCGGCCTCAATGGGTACTGATTCCTTCTGCTACTCTCCTCAACAACCTTCTTCTCCACCTCACCACCATTCTCATTCCCTCCTCCGCTGCCGCTGCTGCTGCTGCTGCTGCTTTCGTTCTCTCTCTCCTTCTCATTTTCCTTTTCCTTTTCAGTCTCTCTCTCCTTCTCCTCTTCTTCTTTTTCCTCCTTTTCCTTCAAACTCAATTTCCGAATCCCATCAACGATGGAAGGATCGAAGCTCCGATCCTCATCGAGGAAGGCGGGGTCGAATTGCTGAATCTCATCGAGCACGGCGGGGCCGAGTGTCCGAATCCAATCAAGGATTTCAACAACGGACGGCTCAGGAGACGGAACAGAAGGGGGATTTTGAGGAACGTCTACGCTTTCAGAAAATTCCGAAGGGAAAGCAGGGGCCAAGTTCCGAATCTCAACGGTGGGGTCGAATTGCTGAATCTCTTGAAGGAAGGCAGGGTCGCGATTCCTAATCCTATTGAGCACGGCGGGGTCGAGCGTCCGAATCCAATCAACGAGATCGGACAGCGCAGGTGACGGAACAGACGTCGGATTTAGGGGAACTTCGACGCCTCCGGATCTTAAGTACTTAAAAATTACGACCAGCACTGACAATGACACCGGTAGGACAATACCCGCCGCTGAAAAAAACATAGCTTTTGTGCTGATGGCGGCGGCGGATGCGGCGGCGACGGTAGCTGAAACTGGGTTGCTAGGTTTTTGCTGTGAACTTGCAACTAGCAACTACATTATGGATGAAACAAACTCTCTCATATGATCAAATATACATTGACTGCCTAAATCAAAGTCTGCTTTGTCTAGAGGCATGTTTGGATTGCTTTTCAATTCCAAAACTGCTTTAGGAAAAGTGAAGAGAACAACTTAGATGGAACATACCTTTCAGCAATTGCTGTTTAAGCAAATGTTGATACAATGCGACGATATCTTAAAATAATTATGCGTTGACATGTAATATCTATGTGTAGGCTACGTCCTCCTTTATAATAATACTCATGACACGCCCTGATCCTTTGTCCAAATGACAATAAGATGGTCACGTGCTAGCTGACATCAGAGGGTGACCCAAGCCATTTTATGAATGCATATGCCAAGAGCATGTGAAACATGCATAATAATTTCACACGTAACTACGCAATATAGTATTCAAGTATAAACCTTAGCAAAATATAATAATCCACTACCAAAAATTTAAAGTGATAATACATGACATGTTCAGAGCATACTACTAATTCGAAATACAAGCAGAAGGGATATTAGAAAGTGCAATTACACGAGATGTCCTACGCAGAGAGGAGGACACAAATTCATTGATATGGGAATGTCTTGTAGCTCGGGTCGTATGTCTCGTTCCTAGATCTTGAGGGGCGCAAAACAAAACCTAAGTGGACCAAGTTTATATATAGTAATAATAAAATAGTTATTCTTCAACGTACTAACCCCCAGTTTTGGAAAACTCATATAGTATAATAAGTAATAGGTTTTCCGAAAACCCTAGTATGTCATAAAACCTTCATAAAACATATATCGTATATAGTGTGTTTAGTAGGGGCATCACAATCACCCGAAGGCCCTACATCGCCCGCCCAAAGGCGTATATAAATCTTCCGCACGAAGGCATATATAAATGAATATCCACTAAGCACAAAAAATCATAAACGCAATCTTTCCAAAATATATCTCATTGGAACTTAATGGCTCAAACATCATATCATAAATCATATTCATAAATATCTCAGTAACGTAAATTCGATAAAGCATGATATTTCATAAAGCGTAAATCCGATAACTCATTAAACGTTTCATAAAACATAATCATGAAATCGTGTTTTTCATGTATGCATTTCTAGTGATTAAATCATGCATTTTAGAAGGGGTCCACTCACAGTTTCTTCGTTACCAACGTGCCTTTCAACAATAGAGAGGATTGGGTCATCTCAGACGACACACCTAAGCACAAAAGAGAACAATTTAGTAAACACTAGTACCTCTGAGGAGGCGCATGCGCTCCTGGCCATCGCTGCACCACGTGCAACCTTACGCGCCCATGAGTAAAGGATACTCACCTTCCTCGCGAGGCTTGAAACTGGTTAGTTTCTAGGCTCATTTCTCAACCATCTTCGATGTTTCAAAAGCCAACATGAAGCTCGACATGAAGATCAAAGATTCATACCAAGTTAGGACTGAGTGGTGGCCGGAGTTGGCCGAAAAATGGCCTCAAAATCACTGTCTTTACTGGAAAATTCGGTAAGTTTTCCCATGAGTTTCCTACGTCCAAAAGTTACCAAAACTTCTTAAAACTACTCCCAAACACACATCAAGACACGATCTATAATTTTTGGACAAGGTTCGAGGCTTACCTTCGCCGGAGTAAGTGGAAACTCGCCGAAGAGTCTCGGTGAACAGTGGGGGCATTGTGTAGTGAAATATGAAGATTTTTGGGTGGTTCTCGTTCGTTTCTGGGTTCACAACTAGGGTTGTTGGGTGGTGAGAGGTGATGTCGTTGTTGTGTTATTGTTGTTGTTGTGTTGTGTATGGCGCCCTCGAGGAAGGCTGGTTTGAGAGAGACTGAGAGGTAGAGAGTGAGAGTGTAGAGAGAGAGAGAGATTTGATAGAAATGAAAAAGGGGAGGGGGAGATCTCGGCGGAAAATGAGGGGATTAGGGGACAAGAATCCATGTGAACACCAGTGGCATATACATTAAGGTCACTAAAGACGAAACATGAAATATACGAAAAACATTCGACATTTCAAAAACGTAAAATCTTCGTTATAACTTCAAATTCGAACCTGTTCGCGCCCATGCGTTCATGGCAATGAGTACAATAAGAATAAACTAAGAAAACTAGTAATACGTGTCACGACGAGATGGTCAACGTTCATGCCACAATGGTAATTTGGTAATTTCACACCTTTAATATTATAAAATACGTAAAATTAAGGACAGGGTATCACAATCTACCCCCTTCAGAGAATTTTGGCCTCGAAATTTACTACCTCAAGTAAACAGGTACGGATATTGATTTCTCATCAGTTCTTCTATTTCCCAGGTTGTTTCCTCAACTGTGAGGTTCCTCCATAATACCTTTACCAACAGGATGACCTTATTTTTCAGCATTTTATCTTGTTAGTCGATAATCGCCATTGGCTCCACAACATAACTCATGTCCTGACTCACTTATAATGGTCGTGGCTGTAAGACATGAGATGGATCTGGTACGTACTATAAGCAACCACACCAATTTTCTTTGTGATTCTATAGGGGCCGACATATCGAGGACTTAACTTTCCTTGTTTACCAAAACGAACCACACCCTTTCAGGACGACAACGTCAGAAAAATAAAATCACCAATCTCATACTCATGATCCTTAGGATGTCAATTAGCGATGCTCTTCTATCAATCTTGCATCATCTTCAAATTCTTCTTTATCAACTGGATGTTAGCGTTAATGGTGTCGACAATTTATGGCCCCACTAACACCCGTTCATCGACCTCAGTCCAACACAGTGGTGTTCGGCACACCCTTCCATACAGTGCTTTGAAAAGTGCCATGTCGAAGCTGGAGTGGTAACTATTATTGTAGGCAAACTTGATCAATGGAAAATAATTATCCCAACTACCCTTCCATTGGAGAACACACATCATCAGCATGTCCTTCAAAGTTTAAATCGTCCTCTCAGATTAATCATTAATCTGTGGGTCATAGGCAGTGTTGTACAAAAAAGTTAAGTATTCATGGCATCATGGAATGCTCTCCAAAATATAGAGGTGAATCTTGGATTTCTGTCTGAAACAATGGTGACAGGTAAACTGTGTAGTTTAACAATATTATCATTGAACAACTGTGCTAGCTTCTCTAATGTATAATTTTGTCAAACTAGTAAGAAATGAGCAGTCTTAGTGAGTTTATCCACAATCACCCATATGTCATCAAACCTTGACCGCGTGCTTGGTAACCCATACACAAAATCCATGATATATATTCCCACTTCCAAACGAATATAGAGAGATTCTGCATTAGCCCTTATGGTTTATGTCTATCCGTTTTCACTTGCTGGCAAATTATACACCTCTTCACATACTTTGCAACATCTCGTTTCATCCTATACCAATAGTAGAACGGACGAATAGTGTGATACAACTCAGTACTTCTCGGGTGCATGGCATACGCTAAAATGTGAGCTTCATCAAGAATTTCCTTTTCACAACTTCATTGTTTTTAGGCACGAATAATTTATTTCCCATCATCAAGGCTTCATCTATCCGGATCCTCAAATCTAGCCTCAATCCATTATGCAGCTGTTCATTTAGGTCTGCACACTACTAATTGTGCTCTTGAGCTTCCCAAACTAGATTCACCAAAATAGGCCTAATTTGGAAGTGCTCTGTTGATGCACAAAATCGGCGGGGACTTTGGTACAACAGAAAGTGTCAAGTTTGTGACCTTCGCTAGGTTGCTCTGGTCATTAGTGTGGATAAGTATGTAAATGAATAGAGATAGGGAATCAAATAACACAAGATGTACGTGGTTCACCCAGATTGGCTACGTCCACGGAGTAGAGGATTTCTCATTAGTTGTGAAGGGTTTACACAAATACATAGGTTCAAGCTCTCTTTTAGTGAGTTCTAGTGAATAGCTTAGTACAAATGACATTAGGGATTATTGTGGGAGAATGATCCCTTTTTATAGAAGAGAGTTTCTAGTTTTGTTGTGACATTGACACGTGTCGTGTTGTGATTGGCCTCTGATATCAACATGTGTTGCGCTGTGATTGGCCTCTGATACAGACACGTGTCGCGTTGTGATTGGCCTCCTAGTTGGAGGAAAAGTCTTGTGGGTCATTGACGGTATGTTGTTGACCGGTGCTTAGTAGTTTCGGGATTGGTCAAGTATGGTACAAACATGCTCCAACAATGTTTCCTGGGGATCTGGTGTCACCGCAACGCTAGTTCCTCTAAGAGAAAAGAATAGCGGAACATAGATAGCTTGTAGGGAGGTAAGTTCTCCGAATGATTTCTGGCTAAGAGCATCCGCTACGACATTTGCATGACCAGGATGATACTCAATAGTGCAATCGTAGTCACTAATGAGTTCCATCCACCTTCTTTGTCTCGAGTTCAACTCCTTATAGATGAAGACATACTTCAAGCTCTTGTGATCCGTAAAAATGTGGCATTTCTCGTCGTATAGGAAATGTCACCAAAATTTTAAAGTAAAGATTATTGCTCCAAGTTCCAGATCATGAATGGGGTAATTTTTCTCGTGAGGTTTCAGTTGTTTGGAAGCATAGGCGATGACTTTCCTATGCTACATCAGAACACAACCTAAGCCTGACAAGGATATATCATTATAGATTTCAAACTCACCGTCATCGTCCGAAAGAGCAAGGACGAGGGCATGAGTAAGACGATGTTTAAGCTCTTGAAAACTCTGTTTGTATTTTCATCCCGTTCAATTTTGACTCCCTTCCAGGTCAATTTAATAAGAGGCAAGGCAATCACCGAGAAATCCTGCACAAAGCGTCGATAATAACCAGCCATCCCAAGAAAA